CACTGGACTCCCATCTGGTCCAGGGTATGTTTACTAATGCCATCCACCAGTCAAATCCTGGAACTGGGGACACCGGGAGCCCAGCTAGTTCTATACCCCCTGTGGCCACATTGGTACCAGAAGCCAGCAAGTCTCAGAGGCTCACCTAAGGTCCACAATGTAGTATCTGAGTATCACTGCAGGTTATTCAGAGACAAGGGGTCTTCAGTTAGCCTGGATGAATGCTGCCATGACTGCATCATTTCCTTCCGGGCAGTGAGTTCCCTCTTGCCTCAGGGTATGTCAAGAAATGTTGGCTAGCAACAGGGGCCTCATTACTTTGACTGTTGCCCTATCCTGCTGTGGCTGATCTGATATCCAAAGTCTTCCCCATTCTTCTCTCTGCCCTCCTCAAGCAGAAAGAGGGGGTTTTATTGGAGCTGTGAACTGTGAAGCCTGGGATTAGGGGCTGGGTTTTGCCAAGACTCCTTCAGCTAGCCCAGTTGGTACAGGTGGTGTCTCTGAATATCATGTGTCTTCCCCCAATCCACTGTCTCTCAGCCTAGTTCAGTACTAGGACTCATATGCGTGTTGTAATCCTTATGTCCTAGATTGTCTTGCTAGTTTACTCAGAGACAAAATAGGTAGTCCCAGGTGGCAAGACTTGTGGGAATTCGATTTCAGATCCATGCAATCAGCAATTACATCATGGCTAGCGTTGGTTTAAATGCTCCCTCCATGGGCAAGTGTTAGCTGAGTTTGGTCTGGTTTTCCTTTCTGCTCTAACAGCACAGCACTTTGTTCAATGCCTCACAGTTGCTGTGTTCTCCCTCCCTCAGTGCCTAGAGCGAGGCTCTGTACACCATGACACAGCTGCAAGTGTGGATAGAGGGCAAAGGGTAGTGTCAATGATTCAAGACTGTCTTATCTATCTCTTCCTTGTCTCTTTAGGGATATGAAGTTACAAACATGTACCTTGAGTGCTAACCTGATATTTTTTTGTTTGTTTTATGAAGGTGTTTTTTCTGTGTAGATAGTTGTTAAATTGGTGTCTTTGAAGGGGAACGGTTAGTGTCACGTTCTATTCCACCATCTGGCTCTGCTCTGCTAATTTGTTGAGAGTCTTTGTCATGAAGAAATGTCAAATTTTCTCAAAAGCATTTAGTGTCTCTGTTGAAATGATCTTATAATTTTGTTCATTCTGTAATTTCGATATGTAACATCTATTGATTTGCATATGTTGACCCATCTTTGCTTCCTTGAGATGAGTTCCACTTGATTGTGCTGAATGACCTTTTTAATGTGCTATGGTTCTATTTTCCAGGCTAGGCACGGTGTCTCATGCCTGTAATCCCAGCGCTTTGGGAAGCTGAGGAGAGCCGATTGCTTCAAGCCAGGAGTTTGAGACCAGCCTAGGTAACATGGCAAAACTTCATCTCTACAAAAAATACAAACATTAGCTGGGTCTGCTGACACAGGCTTATAGTCCCAGCTACTCCGGAGGGTGAGGTGAAAGGATTGTTTGAGCCCAAGAGATCGAGCATAGAGCCAGCCAGGATTGTGCCCCTCCATTCCAATCAGGCTGACAGAGAGAGACCCTATCTCAAAAACAAACAAACCAACAAACAGAAATTAACTTTTTTTTGTATTTTATTACGAATTTTAACACCTCTGTTCAACAGGGACATCAGCCTGTAGTTTTCTTTTTGTGTTGTTTCCTTGTTTGGTTTTGGTACCAGGGCAATGCTGGCATGCTACAAAGAGTTGGAAAAATTTCATTATCTTTACTTTTAGCATAGTTTGAGAAAAATTACTATCAGTTTTTTTTTTAATGTTTGGTAGAATTCAGTAGTGATGATAACAGGTTTTGGGCTTTTTTGAGTGAATTTTATTACTGATTTAATCAACTTACTCATTATTTGTCTATTTAGATTTCTATTTATTCTTAATTCAATCTTGATATGTTGTATGTGTCCAAAAATGTATCCATTTCTTCCAGGCGTACCAATTTATTGGTAAGCAATTTTTCCTTATAGTTTTATATGATCCTTTGTGTTTCTGTAGAGCCAGATGTAATGTCTCCTTTTTCCTCTCTGATTTTACTTATTTGGATCTTCTCCCTTATTTTTCTTAGTCTAATAAAAGGTTTGTCAATTTTGGTTTTTTTAAATCTTTGCTTTACTGATTTTTTTTTTACTTACATTTAGTCTCTGTGGTGTTTCTGCTCTGACATTTATTATTTATTTTCAAATTGTTTTTAATAATGTTATTCTTATATTTCTAGCTTCTTAAGGTGCAATGTTTGTTATTTATTTGAGAGCTTTCTTCTTTTTGATAAGGCATTTATTGCTATAAATTTTCCTATTAGAACTGGTTTTGCTGTATCTCGTCTATTATGGTATGTTGTGTTTCCATTGTCATTTGTCTCAAAAACTTTACAAATTATTTTTTTTACTCTCTTCATTGAGCCATTGGTTTTAAATGAACATGTTGTTTAATTTCCAAGTGTTTGTAAAGTTTCCAAGTTTTCTTCTGTTATTGCTAGTTGTGTACCATTATGATCAGAAAAGATTCTTGACATAATTCCTATTTTTTTCAATTTGTTACAACTTGTTTTATGACCTATCTGATGATCTATTCTGGAGAATATTCTATGTGCAGTTAAGGAGAATGTGCTCTTCAGCAGTCAAATTAAATATTCCAAAAATACCTGTTAGATCTATTTGGTCTACAATGTGCTTAAATCCAATGTCATTTTGTTGATTTTCTGTGGGAAGTATCTTTCCATTGCTGAATGTGAGGAGTTGAAAACTCCTACTATTATTGTATTGCACTCTCTCTCTCTCTCTTTAGAGCTATTAATATGTGCTTTATATATATATATATATATATGTATGTGCTCTAATGTTGAGTATATATATGTATGTTTACAATTCTCATGTGCATATGCTGATTTGATGTCTTTATCATTATATAATGACTTTCATTGTTTCTTTTTCTGTTTTTAGTTCAAGTCCATTTTATCTGATTTACATATTTCTGCTCCTGCTCTTCTTTTCCAACAGCATGGAATATCTCTTTCTCTCCTTTCACTTTCATACTATGAGTCCTTAGAGGTATCGTGTGTCTCTTGAAGCAGGAATAGAGTTGAGTGTTTTTGTTTTTTTTTAATCCACTAAACGACTTTATGTCTTTTAATTGAATAATTCAATCCATTGACATTCAAGGTGATTACTGATAGATAAAGATTAACTATTGCCATTTTGTAATTATTTTCTAGTTATTAGGCAGTTTTTTTTTCTTCCTATCTTCTTCACTCTTTTGTGGTTAAATGATTTTTTCTACTAGTGTTGTTTGACTCTTCTCTTTTTACTTGGAGTGTGATTATTAGAGCTTTGTGCTGTGGTTATTCTGAGGCCCACAAAATTCTTATATTTATAACAGCTTATTTTACCATGATAACAACTTGTGATTCACTTTTTAAAAGAAAAAAAAAAAACTCTACATTTTTACTCTACTTTGGCACACATTTTGAATTTTTGAAGTTACAGCTTACAACGTTTTAAATTACATATTCTTTAACCAATTTTGTAGCTCTTATTTTGAATTGTTTGCTATATTATAGCTTCACTCCTAAGTTCTGGGATATTCAGGGTGGTAATCTTGGCTCTGGGTGGTTGCTATTAAGTTTCTGTAGGAGGCAGAGAAGCTGGAGAACTCCTACACTGCTATTTTGCTGATGTTATTCTCTCCACGATTCTCTTATTTTAATGAGCGGTATCTTAAAACACAGCAAGTATAATAATGTAAAATAAAGAATAAAACAGAAGAAGTCAATGAGAGAACATGTGTGGACTTGAGTTATATTCCTCCAACAAAGCAGAAATTTATATATATATAATATATATATATTTTATATATTATATATATGTATGAATGTATTGTACCTTAAAATAAAGATACCCTAAAACACAACTTTAAAAATATTTAAAAATCAAGAATATGCTGAAACTTTTGTACTCAGTATGATCTATTGTGAGTTCTGAAAATCAGTCTGTTTCTCTAAACACATAAAAATACAAACAGCGGAATGTGGTCCAGACACGCTGGTTTATTTTCATACATCCTGAAATAATTAAGTTGGGTACTGCAAAGCAAAGGATAACAGAAAATTTTAGTGACATGTGGACCCTGAGAGTTATTCATTAGTGACTTATTTGTATGTGGAAGATACTCACTTATTTTCCAGTGTTTAATTTTAATATTAGTGTTCTCATTGTAAGAAGAGTATGTTGGATAAGAAATTGTATTTTGACCATTTGTGAGGAAAAAAAAAAAAAAAAAAAGCTTGCCAAGCTCAACAGCAGGATTTTCAGAAAGAGATTAGTGTGCCAGATGTTTATTTTCAATGTGGCATCAACCCAGTTCCTATTTTCATTTTCTTCTGCATTGCAGACCATAAGTTTGAAACTATACTATCTGAAGTTCCTTTCTCCATAGCTTGCTTCTACCTTAGATTCCCCCATGAGATGTACTTAAAGAAGATTTGGAAGAAGAGAAAGACAAGGTATTATCTGGTAGCAGCTGCTCGTAGCAGCTGAGATCACCAATAATAGCTTTTCTTGATTCTGGAAGTTTTCCTGAGAAACATCCACTGCAGCACCATGGATAATTAGTGAGGGCATCACTAAGATTCTTGAATATCAGAATTTTCTGGAAATAGCATTTTTGACCTTAGTTCCCTCAGTTCTTCCAACAGTTGCAGAAGCCTTTCGTTCCCTTTATTAATACTCTCTTTACTCAAAAAATAAGAAATAAAATAAATTAATATTTTATATTACTTTTGGATTCAGTCCATTACTGTCCCTAAATAAAATTGTACCAGTACACATCAGGGAATCAATTCCACAGATGATTGTGAAACCATTAACTGGAATTATTGAAAGATTTTGCAAAACTCTCTGAACTTTGATATTTACTAAGTGACCTTAAAGGCCTAGCTTTGTGGTAGTGCACTTAAATTCAGAATCACACTTGGTAACTAGCAAGGAAAGATTTCAAACCCCAAACAGTGCAATTGAGACCTTTGTATTAATATATACTACTGAGAATATCTAACATGTTGTTACTAATCAATGTGATTCTCACCTTGTGGGTTTTCTGTGCTAATGGACAAGGTAAGTTAAAAGAGATCTAAACACTCAGCTTCCCTCTTAAATGTAACTTCATGTAATATCTAGCTTTGTATGTCTATCTTTTTTTTATGAATCAAAGAGGATTTATTCACTATGCTAGTGGAAGTGTCATATTTTGTAGGAGTATAACAGAAACTAATGTTATAAAAAATTATCTCATTTTAACTTAAAGAAAAAATGAGTAATATTTTATTTGTTTTCTAAGTTCTGCACTGTAAAAGGCATTTAATATTGATTAAGGAGATATGTGAATGTACTCATGAAACTTTATTAGGAAACATGTCATTAGACAGATTCTAAGCTTAAAACATTCAGAATTTTCTTACCCATAATACAAGGGGAACATTGGGAGTGATTGATATTTTCATAATCTTACATATGGTGATTTTTATAAATTTATATATTAAAAATCAAATAATACATTTTAAATTATGCAGTTTCATATATTTCTATTATATCTTAAGAAAGCTGCTAGAACTAATTAACATTATCATCAACTTACTGTTTCAACAAAATTAGCAACATAAATATATGTTGAATATAAACTTATATTGGAATGACATAAAAAGTAGAATATAAACTTACATTGGAATGACAGTAAGTTTTGACTGGCTTTTCTGAGTCCACTAGCAAATGTTCAATAAGTAAATACACAGAAAATACTTTTCAAAGCTTTATGTCATTGCTCACTGATTTCTTTTCTCCTTGATAGTCATATATTTTCTATATTAACTATCTTTTTGAATGCAGGCTTTGCATGTTAAAGAACTATATCATAACATTAGCAGCTGAACCATATGGGTCAAAAATCGTGACCAATCAAGGGTGTGTGGCCATTAATGAAGAATATAACTTTGTAATTATTCAAGATTTTATAATATTTCAACAAACGTAACAGAGGGTAATACTGGAAATCCCATTATCAATTTATGAGAGTATCTTTTCTCTCAGCCTCTCCTCTCAAAGCTATGCCACCTTATTTGATTCTAGGGAAAGAGCTTTAAGTTTTATGGTATTATCTATCACGTGATTTACTAGTTTTATTTGTTGTGCAAAACAAACTTGATCTATGCCAAAATGGAAAAAAAAAGGAATTACTCCTGTTATTTCCTTTTTTTAACTGAACTGTTACAGGTACATTTTTTCAAAGAAAGATTAAATAGATTAAAGTAGAATGCAAAGAGGAAAAATAGTGCTAGTTTGAAATGACTGGAGTTAGAGAAGCATATGCGCTTTTTACTTTCTTACTTTCTTAAAAGCACTATAGAAAAGAATGATGACAAATTCTTTCTTATCTGATATTCCAGTTGAAAACTTGTCTCCTCCAATGAGCTCTTTGTAAGAGTAAACTTGAGCAAACTGTCTTGGAAATTTGGGTCACACCTATATTTCTCAAAGGAGAAAGTAACTCATTTAGTGGAATAACGTCTTGGGTAGAGAGAAATATCTTTGTGTATTCAGTAGCATTGGCTCAACTGTATCCCTCCAAAATTCATTTGTTAAAGTCCAAACTCCTAATACCTGAGAATGTGAGTGCATTTGGAGAAGGAGTGCTTAAAGAGGTAACTAACTTAAAGATCAATGATTCAGGTGGGCCCTACTCCAATATAACTGGTGTCTATATAAGAAGAGAAAATAAGGACACACCATATAGAGAAAGATCAAGCAAGGCATAGAGAGAATACAACCATTTACAAGACAAAGGAAGAGGTCTCAGAAGAATTCAACCCCGTTGACAGCTATATCTCAAACTAGTAGCTTCCAGAACTGTGAGAAAATAAATTTCTATGAAATCTGTGTACTTTGTTATGGTAGCTCTAGCAGATGAATAGAATGATATTTACACAATTTATTAAAACAATATTAATAATTAAAACAGCTTTCTACTTTTTACTCAAGGATACATATATATACACACACACATACACACACACACACACACACTCCAACACAGATTTTAGAGGGTATTCATCAGAATTTGGTAATAATATCTTGGGTGTATTGTCTTTGCTGATTTTTGTCTTGTTGAATACTTTTTGTTTACATATTATCTGTATTCATCTATATTCAGAATCTAGTAAATCAAATCAACAGATATTTTTCATATGATTAATGAATGATATACTTTGTGAGTTGCTTATGCTAAGAATTTTTTTTTTAATGGTAGTTGATGTTTCAGTTCTAAACAATAAAATCAACATGGCAATTCTTTTGGTAGCCACACTATTTGAAAGATAAACTTGACAGAAAATTTATAATTGTAACTTATTATAATGTTCATTGAATTTGTATTGACCAATATTTCTTTCATCAACTCATAAGTTATTTACACTTATTTAAAAATAGGGTGTCAAGAACATTATTTTTAATTTTGAATGTCTTCTTAGAGTTGTATAAATTGTACATTCATCTACTAGAGTTGCCATAACAAAGTGTCAAGGGTGACAATTCATATTGTAGAGCAGGGTTGCTTCTAAATCACTTTTAAACTGATCATTTTCAGTACTCAATGCATTACAATCAGTTGCCATTGTACTTCTTTGGGACGCTCAAATTTGTTTCAAATCTCACTAAGAAGCTGGCTTCTGTGTGTATTTCACGTGTCCCCATTAAGCTTTGGCATAACAAAAGGTCCCAGGCTTTCCTTGACTTTTCCTACTACGGACCAAGTTCCTTTAGTTTCTCTATGAAATTCCAGTGGCTTTTAGTGGGACAAACGATTTTTAGAAAGAAACCTAAACTATGAAAAACTCACTACAGGTTCGAAATTATCGTTGACTAAGAAAGGTAATTTTTGACCGAGCCGGGGGCTCACACCTTAATCCCAGCACTTTGGGGGGTCAAGGCGCACGGATCACTTGAGGCCAGGAGTTGGAGACCAGCCTGGCCAACATGATGGAACGCTGTCTCCACTGAAAAGTCAAAAACTTAGCCGGTTGTGGCGGCGCACACCTGTAATCCCAGCTCCTCAAGAGGTTGAGGTGGGAGAATCACTTGAACCGGGGAGGCAGAGGTTGCAGTGAGCCGAGATCGTGCCACAGTACTCTAACCTTGGCGAAAGAGCAAGACCATTAAAAAAAAGAAGAAGAAGAAGAAAAAGAAAAAGAAAAATTAAAAAGTTTTCCTTTAATATATGTCCCTTTCTTCCTCTGACTAAATATCCTGCAATCATAAGAAAATGTAAGAGTATCTCAGGAGGTTACAGAGGGCAGGGAAGATTAGATTTTCCAATACGGAGGAGACACTCAGCAGAAAACTGTGCCTCCATGCTTGAGGGGCTGGGTCAGAGAAGCTGTCATGAGTCACCCAACAAACCTGTAGGGCCAGTTCTGTAACTACCACAGGCTTCCCACAAAGTAAAAGTGTCACTTCTCTGAACTTAGTCTTCTCATCTGCACACTAAAGCAGTTGTGCCACTAGCCTCCTTCCAGTTCTCTCTGGTTTATGATGATTCAAACTTAAAGATTTTCTTTAGTTATATTCTTGTTTTAATAACAAATAGAATGTAAATATTATTTTCTATCACTTGTTCCAGAATTATAGAATAAACATAAATTATGTGCTATTTAAATTGTAGTGGTCTTCAACATTCTACATGTATTTATACATATAGTGGGTAAGAATATGTATATATGTAATGCATATTTGTACAGTCATGTATGCATCTATAATTTTTATGTCAATAATATATCTCATCCAACACATGAATTTGAACTACGGTAAGAATGCACGCCATCGAATACAAACAAAATGCCACAAAACTCAACAAAATATTTTATTTCTGGAGATAATTTGCTACATTTCTGATTTTTTTAAATGTTACAGTCATATTTCTTGTCTCTGTTTTACAAAAAAACAATCATTGCTAATGTATGCACCCTGAACTGACAGCTTTAGCATAACTTGGTATAGTGTTAGACAAGCTTAGTTTAAATTAATGCTGATAAAACCTTCAGAATTGCTGAATAGACCATACTACGTTAGTAGACGTAGAGAAAGTGAAATGAGGTTCTTCTTGTACTGTTAGCTGATTCGGGATCCATTAAAGATTTTAAGTGGAGAAATAAAATGACCAGATGAAGAGTCATTAATTTATACACAGGAAAATAGATTATAAAGATGAGAGGAGAGGATAAGGAGACTAGTTATGGTTGCTGTAATCCCAGAAGAAAATGCTTGAGAGAATATGATATCAAAGATTATTGCCAGGGGTTTTTTGTGCCTTTGTGATTGTTTGTTTGTTTTGACAAAAAAAAAAAAAAAATTTGAATGAAAAGGAACACCACAAATGCAGCAGTTCAGTTATTATTGAGAGAGGTAATGAGAATGATTGACATGAATTTCCCCCAAAAATGTTCTTTCAATAATTACTATGTTACAAATAAAAGCATGGGTTATTTTGGCAGCTGACTCAGAGAAAATAGCTATTCCTGCAAATCTCTGTCTATATTGAAATTCATATATACGTTTAAACGATATTACTCTATGCCATTTATTTCAAAGGAACTAATCTTCAAAGCAAAGAAAATTAGCAACATATTTTTAATTAAAATTTTAACTTCTTTCAAAAATGCCTTTATTATTTATCTGTTAAGAACAGATAAATCATTCATGAGGCATTCAGGTCAAAAAAAGAATTTTTATTTTTTTGTTGGTAGATTTACCTAGTGGAAACATTTGTATTTAACTTTTAAAAGAAAATTCCATTAATACCAGATGAGTAAACATTCAAATAACAATGGAATTAAGGGGAGGAAAATGAAGATCTTCTTTAATAACCCTAATATTAATAGACAATGGTGGTACTGGGAAGAACATCTGTCTCTTTTAGGCTTCATAAGGAAATGATGGTTTTCAGTGTCAACGAATTCATCTCAGCTGCATGGTTTGCCCACCAAATATCATGTCTGTAATAATATATTATACTTAGCCTATTACATTTTAAAATGATTGGTTTCCAACTATCATGGCATCAAAGACAATATAGAGATAGTTGAAGAGTTAAAGAAATTATAGCATAAGAAGCATGCAAAAAGATACAATTATAACATTATAATGACTGTCTTGAGATATTTCAAAACACTTATGAAGGGGAACAAGTTAGCTTTTGATGAGGACTGTCACAGTCAGTGAAGCAAGTAACAGTATTATCCAACATCGAGTCAGAGGTCGAGTGACTTTCTGAAAATATGACCTTTACAGACATTGCCATATGCTGGGGGGGGGGTTGGGGAGGCGATGGTAGAAGAGTTGATCTCTTCTGAGTCCTTCACATTTTCAGTTGTATGATTCAAAATTATTCATACAAACCTTGTTTTAATTAAGTTTTCAAAACTGCAGTTATCTTTAGAGTTGAACTTTTAATTTTTGACTTGAGCTCACAAGGAGCTCCTTGGAAAATACATTTCACTACACAATTGAAGGAATTTCACTTGTAAGCACTGTTAAGAAAATATGTTAGAAAGAAGTTAATGAGGTTAAAGGGGCACCAGGTTCTATTTCCAGGATGGAATGTAGGTGACAGCTATGAAAGGTGTTTTTCCCGCAGTTGCCTGTCACTATGTGAAATTGCCTGTCTCCGCCCAAAACACACAGCTCTCCTGCGCTCTCTTACAGGAAACTGCAGCTCTTCACAAGGAAAGACAAGGGATGGGCCTTGTCTTTTTTGCAAGCCTGGCTTCGCTGGACACATCACCAGTGGGGATTCAGCCACCCCTAATCCCCCTAGAATATCTGTCCTCTGGTGTGTCTGCACTAGTCTCTTTTGTGAGTGACCACAGCTATGTCCACAGAATTGAGTGCAGGGGAGATGTCCCCCTCTTTGCATCCCTGCCTAAGGACTGGGACCGCCTGGCTCCTGGGATGGATCTATACTCCTCCCTTGCAGAGCCAAGCACAGCACCTGTGTGCCTGCTGGAAGTGGTGTAGTCATTTTCAGCCCACAAACAAGTTGCTCTTGCACACAGGAATCTGGAATGAACAAAATTAGGAATCAACAAAAAAATGTGTATCATAATCTTTATTATTTGGATATGAAGAAATGTTCCTACCCTATTTCTCTAGTTAAATAAAGACTGGAAAACTTGGCTCCGTGACTTCTTTAGGGTGTAAATTAACTGTATTATTTTTCTGTGCTGTAACATCAAAGAAAAATTTTTGTGTTCCTCTATATTTTTACATTGCCCAGTAATTAGAAAAGAGTCCAATGAATTTATTTGTTTACTTATTTATTTACTTTTATTTTTTGAGATGGAGTCTTGCTGTGTCACCCAGTCTGGAGTGCAATGGCACAGTCTCGATTCACTGCAACCTCTGCCTCCTGAGTTCAAACAATTCTCCTGCCTCTGCCTTCGAAGTAGCTGGAATTGCAGGGATGCACCACCAGGCCCTGCTAATTTTTATTTATTTTTAGTAGTAATGGGGTTTCATCATGTTGCCCAGACTGGTCTCGAGCTCCTGACCTCAAGCGATCTGCCTGCCCCAGCCTCCCGAAGTGCTGGGATTACAGGCGTGAGCCACTGCACCCAGCCCATGAAGTTAATCTAAAACAAATAAAAACCTTAAATCCCTCAAAATACTACCTCCTTACATTGAGTTGTTCTGAGAAGACATGTGGTCCTCTGTTTACTGATGAGAATAGAAAAAAAAAAAGGAATACATAATCTAAGTGGTAAAATTGGCATATTTCTTAACCAAAAAGCTCATTTAATTAGCCAGGGCTAGGATATGTGTACTTAATACATTAAATAGGTCTACGCATTTTTCTTTCTGGAGAACCTTTGTATGAATTTATGTATCGTGTGATCCACAAGACATAATTTTCTCTTCATTAACAAAGACCTTCTCATCACATATCTCAGTCATCTGAGTTCTATTATCTGTTTTGAGCTAGAACCCCCAATGGAATGTGTAATTATGCTAACGAGAGAATATAATTCAATGATAAAAAATTTTATCTCTAATATGATTATTTATTACAGATATATACACACACACACACATATATATGTGTGTGTGTGTATATATATATATTTGTTTTTTATGTGAGCGAAACCTTGCAATTTTCCAGAAATTCAACATGGAGGTCTATATTATGAGAGTATATATAGAACATACTTTCCAGTAGCTGTAGGAAAGTATTATTCCTATTGCTATGATGAACCTTTTGAGACTCCTTCGAATATGTCAGATGACAATACAGTGAAGGGAAAAATAGTGATACACCAGAAAGGATACTATGATGTGTTCATTTTAATGCCATTTTGTACTATGATAAGGACAAATAAATAACACCTACTTTTAAATGTTTATATAAATGATGAATTTTAATGGGTACTTCTGCATTATCCACACATCCTTCTTCTTTTCAGAAAAAACATGTGATACTCCTGATATTCCAAATGGTGTCTACTCACCTTTAAGGATTAAACACAGAACTGGAGATGAAATCAGGTACCAGTGTATTAATGGTTTTTATCCTGCAACCCGGGGAAATACAGCAAAATGCACAAGCACTGGCTGGATACCTGCTCCAAGATGTGCCTGTAAGTTCCATTCATATCTTGACCCATTTCTTAATTCTGAAATTTCTTTTAAATGCATAAAAATGGGGACTCAATAAAACTAAATATTTGTCTTATTGTGTATATAAAGTAAGGTTGTTGGAAGTATTCTTTAGTTTTTGAAGTTGCCAAAACTCAATTTTTTCGCTACTCAAAATTAAATGTGTATGTGTGTTTATGAATGTATGTTACCCTTATTAATAAATTCTTCCAATATCTGAATTAAAATACTAGATTAAAATAATGTCATCTAACACATACTATATTAGTTATTTAATGCATTGTAACAAAATACCCCAGAAATATATTTACTTAAAACAACTAACCTTTATTATCTTACAGTTTCTATCGGTCAGGAATCTGAAAATGGCTTATATACGTAGTTGTGAATCAGACTGTCTTCTTGTGTTGCAACCAGGATCATGGTCCAGGCCACAGTAATGGGAACTGCTACACACTTTTAAACAACCAGGTCTCATGAGACCTCACTCACTATCATGAAAACAGCAAAGGGGAGATCCACCCCCATGATCAAATCACCTTCCTCAACATTGGGAATTAGAATTCAACATGAGATACGTGTGGGGACACAGAGCCAAACCATATCAATTATCTACTCACACACTGTTAACTACAGTCATATCTATTTTTTCAAAGTGAGACACTAAGTCCTGCCTATATCCAAGGGGAGAGAAATTAGGCACCACTATTTGGAGGAAGGAGTGTTGAAGGACTCCAAGTCTTAGTAATTTCCTAGTGTTGGAGGCAATTTCCTAAAACCATTACATGTAGCAAAATACCACCCAAGTCAACAGAGTATTTTATTTCTGGGATGCTCCTTTACCCCTTTTTAATATTTTTCCTATCTCTACGATCAAATTTATTTTCTTTCTATCTAGCAGTACATAGACAAGATGTACCACACTTAAACTATATATTCCATGAAAGAAAAATATGATACAAATGATTGACCAATGACTTCAACTCTAATTCCTGGCATAATTCCAGTCCCTAAGAGAGGAAGCTATTATCAGTATGAAACAGATTTCAATGTGCATAAGAATTATAAGGGAAATATTTAATGATTTTATGGTTGGCTTATGACAATGTAGTTCAGCCCAAATGTATCTAAACCTAGATCCAGCTATATTTGGATTTCAATTATTAATGTTCAACAATGAACCATCTGGAGTTCTCATGGACAAGATAGAGAAGTTGATCAGTTATATGGTTTATCAGTTTGTAATTTCATTAAATAACCATATCTAATTATCAGATGCAAGACTTTATTCTCAGGCCTGCTTCATTACTCACTGTGTCATTGAACACTTTAATGATTTAGGGCAAGGGCAGTACAAATTAACAATTGGAATGATACAGAGGATGATAATGAATCTGCATTAGGGCATTCAAAGAGAATCTTATGTGCTAAGCTGAATCTAATAAGATGAAATTTAACAATGTTGACTCTGAGAGCCTTGGGCCTGGGTCAAATAAATTACAGTATGAATATATTAGCAGTAGTTATAAAAATTAGTGAACATTTTTATCAATTTCAAGATCTGTCTGAGCCAACTTTATGATGGAAGCACCATAAATGCTGTGAAACCGAAAACTACATTTGTAGAAGGGTAACAAGTGAAATGAGGCCATTTGAAGTCCTTCTATTCTCAGCCCTGATGAGACCCTCTGTGGGTACTAATATTTGCTTCAAGGAATCAATTTGTAAAATGGATAAAAACAGATGTAAATGTGACAAAATTAGAGAATAGGTGAATAGCTCAACCCTGTGGTAATGACATACGTTTTTAATTATGCCTCCTTTTTATTCCTTTTGGAAAGAAATCTCAGTGGACAATTTTATTTTATGACATTCTGGGAAAACCCATAATAAGATGGATACTCATACTTGTTTTGAAATCAACCACAAGCTTTCAAATCTCTGCTCTACCATTTAATGTGAAATTCAATTGAAATCTTTAAGACACAGTTCCTGCAAATCTAAGACTCAAGTTTTCCCAATGCAGAATTATTGTTAAGCAAAGTCCAACAGTAAATAGAAACCATTCCAAATCTTTAAAAAGTGATGGGGAAAAATGTAGAATGTTACTTAAAAGAGATAAGACTAAGTAAATGTTTTAATTTCAACACTGGGAGCTTCCAATAAATAGGGAAAAAATCTATCAATTACAAGATATGTGGATTGCAGGCCAAGAAACTATACTGAAAGAAGTATCATTCACTAGTCTTTGTTAGAGAAAGACATTTAGGATATACAATTATTCAGTTTATAATCCACATAATAAATGTGTGTAGGAACTACATGAAAATGTCTCTAATCAAATACCAAAGAAAATAAATCACTGAATTTAAGAAAGAGGGAGATGAGAAAGAATATTTATATGTGTGTGTGTGTGTGTATGTGTGTATTGAAATTCTTTTTAACCTATTGCATAAGGTTTATTGAAACTGAATCAACTTTCATGGAAAACATTAATACCATTTTGTTACTGAAAGTGCTAGATGGTCGTAAATAATCTCATGAAAAGAGCAGATTTTCTGAAAAATATATAAACCTGTTAATATGATAAGCAAGATAGCACTCAAATGTATTTGTCAAAATAAATATATGGTAACTCGGTAAAATGTAATTATATTGTACCTTACTTAAACATAGTTTATGACATTAAAATTATTTTGCTGTCCAATTAAAATTGGGAATAAACAAAAAATGTTCATCAAAATCTTAACTATTTGGATAT